AAGGCCGGCAGCGCCGCGCGCGCCCGCAAGGCGACGGCCAAGAGGGACAAGAGCGCGGCCCCCGAGCGCGACGGCTGGACGAAATTCCTGCCCGGCGCCGAGGACGGAGCGGGACAAACGGCCGCCTCGGGTGCCCGGCCGGCGCAGGCGCCTCGTGGCCGCTATTGAGCCCTCCGTGCCCTGCCTCCCCGCCGGCCGCTTCCCTCCCTGCTGCTCCCCGGCACAAACCAGCCCCGCTCCATCCCGCTCGCTCCCCGGCGGCTCCCGCCGGCTGAGGCCGGAGCTGCGGGATACACGGGTCTCCCGGGACGGCACTGCCGCTGACCAGCCGCTTCCCCGCTGAAGAGCGCCGGCGTTGCAAGCGGCACGAGGAGCCCCCGAGGGCACAGCCGGTGGTTGGGTTTTTGCAGCAGCTGGAAAAATAAAAGTTAAAAAAAAAAAAAAGGAAAATCCTCTGGTTTCAGCAGCTCCCGACCCCGGGCAGTGGAGCCGGGGCAGCCCCGGGGTGCGTCCTCACCGGGTTGCACCCAATAACCCGTCTCCTCTGGTGCTGGGGGGCGACAGAGCCCGGGCTGACTTTGTTTTCAGCACTAAAACTGGTGGAAGCTGCTCCCGTTCCAGCCCCGAGGCTGCCCAGGCATCCAGGGAGGAGATAAAGGCCGCGGCAACGCGGAAAAGGGGGACAAAGTCCCGCTTCGTTAGCGCTCCGACTCGGCAGAGGCTTCCAAGTGAAAGCTGTTTCAGCAGCTGCAGCAAGTAACGGGTTTAATGCTAAAATAACATTAAGTTTTCCACCAGATCTATCCTGCTGGGGCTCCACACGCTCCTGAGGGCAGTTAAGCAGCAAGTTTTCCCTCTGGCGTGATGAGGGCAGACAGGTTTTCAGGTTTTGTTCCTTCTGTCCCATCTCCAAGGCTTCGTGTCCCCTCAGGGCCTTCTGCTAATCTGCAACTGATCCTGGGAAGTATTTCTGGGAATAACTTCCCCTCCTGCCACTTGAGGTCCCCATGAAAAGGCGGCTGATGAGAGCAGATGTTCCCGAAGGAGGATCCTTCCCAAAGCAGAGCGCCGAGCCGCTCACTGGGACATAAAAACAGGATGGGACTCGTGACGAGGAGCAGGGCCGAGTGGCCTGGGGACACTGGGGATGTTCTTGTCCTGGATTTTGTGCCGGGCATTTTGTAGCCCTGCAAACAAACACGGTCCCAAGAAAAAGCCTCCCTGCTGGGCTGGCAGAATTTCAGAGCCACAGCAACCCCACGCCCACAAACTCCAAAGGTCACGCGTTAAACCTGGCCCTATAAAGCCAACAACAAATACAGAGCACCGCAGCAAAGGACCTTGTTTTTCCATCACTCAGCTCCTCCGGGAAGCTGCGACTCCCTTAATCTCAAGGCAAACGCTCCTTTCTCCTCCTCTTTCTCCTCAGTTAACACCAAAAGAGCAGCCCAGGGGCCATGGTGTGTGAAGGATCAGGGCTGGTTTATCGCGATGGGGACGAGCTACAAGCAACACCGGGAAGAGAGCCGGCGCCAGCGGGAAAACCACAGCGCTCCCAGGTGCTTTGGGGGGAACACAGGGAGAAGCGGGATGTTTCCATCGGCTCCAGAGCCCCTGAATTTGCTCACCCCCCTTTTTCGGGATAAGGGATCGGCGCTGGACACCTGCAGGTCCGAGCCTGGTCGCCGCTGCCGGGCTCGCGAATCCCGGGGCTGTGAGGCCTCCGGAGCCGCAATCCCGGACGGCGCCGATTTCCCATTCCCCGCACGGCGCCGGCGCTGGCAGTGCCCTCCGCTCTCCCTCCCCTGGGACACGGTGCCTCAATGGACACGGTTGTCCTGCCCCAGGCCTACACACGCGCGACGGGCAGCGCTGGCATCTCCTTCCCTGGGCCCACTCGGACCTGCGGGGACACAGAACGGGCTTTGTCTCAAGCTTTGGGATGGGGAGGGCAATAAAACAAGAAAAATGCACCAAAGCTGGACTCAAAGAGTTGTACTGAGTTGGGCAGTTCTCAGCGAGCGCTTGGACATACTGGGCATCAGCTTGTGCCCGGCTCTCTGCGGCTATTTGGGAACCTGGTGCATGAGGAGCCACCCTGGCCCGTCCCCGCAGCGAGAAGCAGCTCTGATCATCCACAGAAAATCGGGAGGAGGGGAAGTGCTGCCTTCCCCAAGGATTTATAGGTACTCGGAGGCTGGCCTCCCGCCTCCCTCTCCGCACCCTGAGGATCTTCCGGAAAAAGGGAGGCTGCCAACCAGGAGACGCCTTCACATGGCCGCCAGGGCCGCCGAGGAGAGCACGGTCAGGAGAAGCACCAGCAGGCCGGACTGGTTGACTTGGCTGAGCTTGAAGCCCTTCCCCATGTCCCATGCCTGCCGGGAGAGAAGAGACACAGCACTTAGTTCCCACATGGAAAATCCCGAGACAAAACGTGCCGGGGTGGCATCCAGAGCAGCAGCTGCTCCTTCCTTGCTTCCCTCTCGCTGACAGAAACGGGTTATAAAGTGCCTGAGCTACAGATCCAAGGCAGCAGGAACAGCCCAGAGCTGTTGGGAAGGAGTGGGAAGCAGCTGGGAAGCAGACCTGGCCTCCAGCACATCCAGCTTCACCTCTGGATTCGGAATCTCTCCCCTAACTCTGCTCAGTGCAAGTACAGAGCTCAGCGGGGTCCCTGCTGCTGGAGATGGGGCTCACTCCGGGCCAGGCGCCTCTGCAATTGCTCCTGCAAAACCAGACCCAGCTGCAGCAGCCCAAAAGCAGCACAGCCTGTAGCAGCTCCCAAGCTCTGCTCGCCCTCCTTTGCTCCCGCTCCCCTCTTATCCCTTCCCTCGCTCCCCGCGCGGCTCCGCAGGGAATGCGGCTCCGCAGGGAATGTGGCGCCGCGGGAGCCGCTGCCGCTCTCCTTGCCGCTGGGGGGAAGGAGCAGAAGTCTCTGCGACTTCCACGCTCCCAAAAATAGCACCTTGTTTCTGAGGTGCCTCATTTCCATTCCCAAGGGCACCTTCCCCAATGCCACGCGCGTCATCCGCTCCGAACGTTTCCCTTCCCTCATCCCAGCCCCGGCCGCTCACCAGGTGCCGGATCCCGTTCCAGGTGTGGTAGGAGAGCGGGAAAACCAGTGCAAACTTGGCCGAGTAGATGAGAGCCGGGCCCAGGCTGAGCGACTTCACCATGGCCAGGTAGTGGGGAAACTGCTCGGGGAGGAGCAGGGCAGCCAGACCGAAGAGGGAGACACCTGGGAAAGACAAAGTCACCACAATTGTCACCAAGAGCCAGGCCGGAGGCTGGAAGTCCAAGGCCTGGAAAGAGGACACCAATTCCACGTGTCACCACAGTGCTCCCATCCTCCCTATTGCATCTCTCCCAAAGGGATGCAATTCCCAAGCTTTTTGACTAGGGGCAGGTTTGCACTCCTTTTTTTTTTCCCCATTGTTGAGCTAGGCCTACACTGAAGAGCGATTCAAACCAATCCCAGCCACATTTCCCACAATTTCCGAGCAGGTAGCGGAGAAAATGGGTCTAGTTTCACTGGGGAGACCACCCCAATGTTCCTAGTTTGGTGACAGAGCGGGAATCAAAGCAGGAGCTCATCGTGGCCAACAGAGGATGAAGGAGAGAGGAGGGTTCCCCCTACTCGGTGGCAGTGCCAGCCGTGCCGTGACAAGTCAGTGTCTCTGGGAGGGCAGCGGCCACCTCGGAAACGTCACCCGAGCCCAAGGAAAAGCCCCCAAAATCAGGAGCCCCGAGAGCCGCCCGAGGACCCAACGCACCCATGCTGAGCGCCACGCCGGTGCCCCGGTGCGTGATGGACATGGCCATGGGCAGCGACCACCTGCAAAACAACCGGATTCATCAGCAAGATGGGGCAGGAAGGTGAACAAAAACACACAATATTAGAGAGGCTTCCAAGGCAGAGGCATAAAACACGGCCTGTCTATTCGCAGGCAGCTCCGTGCTGCTGGGCGGGTATCTCTGCACTCGGAATTATGCAAGGAATCCAGCCAGAGCAAAAGGGGGGAGACGGGGGAATGTGCAGAGGCAGCTTGGGAATGACAAATGCCACTGGGCGCGGGGTTGGGAAGCGCTGCCGGGAAAGGAGCAGAAAACTGCAGGGCTCCTGCAGTCGAGGAACGAAGGCACCGGGGGTCCCAAGGGTGCCACCTTCTCTTGGTGTCACCCTGTGTCCCCAAGCTGCGCAGGAGAAGCCACGGCACGGAGCTGAGGCTCTTACTTGTAAATCGAGACGTGGGGGGACAAGGGCCGGTTGGATTTGGTGTTCTTATCCCAGAAACGCGCCATCTCCTCCTTGGCCGTGGTGCCCATGGGGACAACGCTGGAAAAAGAGGGGAGACAGGATGGGCGGAGGCAGGGGCAGCCGCTGCCCGCTCTGCCCGTGCAGCGCCCGCCTTCCCAGCCCGACCTACGGCAATAAAAGAAATGAAAAATAAAAGAATAAAAAATTCACCGTGAGCTGCCTGGAGTTGGGAATAATAGTCAGGATGCTGACTCCGTTCTGCACTGAGAGCTACGGAGCCGCCGGAGCGATGCCAACCCCCCCAAACAGGGGGTTTGGGTATCAGATAACGTGTTATGTAACAGAGATAACGCGCAACCTGCTCTTGGCTGCCACCGTAATTGCACCCTGCACCAAATAAAGAGCTTGTAATTTAATGTTCCTGAGATTACCCAGCAATTACATTTCCAGCCCAATTTAGCGGAAAATGACTGTCTCTCTCGCAGCTCGGCAGCACGAAGCGCAGAGGCGAGGGGGCTTCTGCTCAGCCGCGCTCCCCATCAGCTGCAAAGTTAATGGCATTCATGGCACTTGTCACGAGAAGCCACCGCAGAGGGTGACACCGGTTCTGCCTCCTCGGCGAGACCCGGCCGAGCTTCTCCTTCAGCCCCAGCTGAAGGTAAATAGGCCAGGCGCTCGCCACGGCATCAGAATTCCTAAGCGGATGGAGCTTGGGAAGGCGGCAAAGCTTTAGACGGGATCCCGCGGGGAAAGAACTTAATCCCGTTAGTCTCCACTAAAGCTCAAACTCACTGTCGTGCGGAGGGGCCGGGGCCCAGCCGGGCCAGGAGGCATCGCCGTCCAACGCACCTGCAGGGGAATACGGAAACGTTTGGTCGTGAGCGACAAATAAACGCCCCAAAACACCAGCAATTTGGGGATTCGGCAGCTCAAAGGCCCGTGTCTTAAATATCAGCCCTAACACGGAAGGATCGGGGCTGTTCTTAAATCTTCTGGCTGTAATACTGAGCCTAGCTCTTAACTAGAGCCTCAGCCCGGGGGCTGGTTCTTTAGCACATCCTGTAATTAGTCTGCTCAGTGATAACAGTTTCTACCACCCTTCCCTCTCGTTAGGGCAATTAGCGGGGCGGGTGCAACACGTCCCAGAAAGGCACCGTGCAAAGGGCTACAGTCCCCGCAGGGGCTAAAATAAAGTCATCGACGCCCCCTTTTCCTCTGAACACTGTTTTTTTGTGACGTGGTTTCACCGTCTGTTAAGCGCTGAGCCCAGGTCGCTGTCACACAGCACTGCGGTCACAGCAGCCCTTGGAGCGAGAGCGAACGGCATTCCACGGTGCCCCAAGGAGCTCCTTTCCACGGGATCAGTCGGGCTAATTGTGGCATTCCCGGGCACTTCTCCAGGCCCCGGGCAGAGCCACAGGCCCCCGGGGCGGCGGCGGCTCCGGTTTGCGGATGTGGGCTGGAATCCGCGGCACCCGCTCGCTCCCGTCGAGGACACGGCGGGAAAGGCAGCGCTTCCCGACGGCACCGCCGCGACAGCGGCACGGAACCGCGTTCAGCGCGTTCGTCCGCGGGCTAACGACCAACGTTAATTAAACCTTCCCAAACGCGCCCGCATCTCCGGGGTCTTCCGCGTGCGCCCGACGGCTCCAGCAGGAACCTCAGGATGAAACAGCTGCTCCGGGCCGCACCGGCCCGCCACCATTCCCAACAGCAGCCAAAAATATGGGAAAACACAGAAGAGGCTTCCCAAGTTGCCTAAACTCCACAATACGCTATTTTTTTTCAATGCTACCGTCTCCCCCATCCTCCGAGTGCAATTTTCATTCTTCCTTTTTCTCTTTTTAGCTGCATCCCGCTTGCAAAACGCAGCGTTCCAGCTAAGCAATCAAGGGCACGTTGTACCCAAGACCTGTCCTCGTTCCCATTCATCATCATTCTCTCAGTTGTTGCTTCTTCATTAGTACCCCGTCCATTAGCTGACATTTGCGGCCGGATCACTGATAAATAAATTATTTAAAGATACAAAAAAAAAAAAAGGAAAATTAGTCCTGAAATAGAATCCTACGGCGTCAAACCTGCATCACACCTGAAAAAGGGGGCAAAACGTATGGAGATAGTTCACTAACAACATGAGATCTTCAAGGATTTACAAAGTGCAAAATCTTCAAGGATTTACAAAGTACAACTGGTGGTAAAGGGCTGGCGAAGGGTCTTGTGATGGGCCATAACGCGAGATTTCCGTGAAATGCCCCTACAGCGCCCGACACGTCGCATCTCCACGTGCATCCGCCCTTCCCAGCTCCCAAAGGAAGGGCTGGAAGGCACCCGGAGCAGCTCCAGAACCGCAGCGGCTCCGAGGCCCGTGCGCAGCCGCCTTTGAAGCGGATCCTGCCATCAAATCCCTCGTTCCGTGCCGCACAGCAGCAACCAACCGTGCAGCGATTCCGGGCGCTTTTCCATGCGCCAGGCTGAAGCAGGCGCCAGATGCAGCTCTCAGACCCAAAACTACAAAAATCGACGCCTTCTTGCTGCTGTTTTTCCAGCCCAGGACGTGACGGCCCTGCAGCCCTCCAGGACTGGGATCATCCGCATCTCCTGTTGCCCTCTAAGCACAAAACGTCCCACCAAACCAGACCGGCCTGCTGTTATTTGAGGAAAAAATGCCCAAACACCATTTAAACCAACATTTTGCCGCTGTTTTCTTGGCATTTCACCAATACCGAGCACCCGGGAGGGCAGGAAAGAGCCGCCAAGAGCAGCAATGCTGCGGGGGGGTCCGGCCCCGACTACCGGGCCATGAGCCCCTCATGCGGCCCCCCCGGGGGCCCGTTCCCCCCGCCGCCGCACCGGGTAACCGCGGCCCTGCCCACACGCCGACCCCCGGTCCTGCTCGCCCGGCCCTGCCCGCGGCCGGGTCAATCCCGCCGTTTTCCCACCGGGAGCCTCCCGGCCTCGCCCCGGAGCCCCCGGTGGGGCCGGGCAGGGCCCGCAGCCCCCGGCCGGGCCGCCCCGGGAGTCACCTCAACGCCAGCGCCGCCATCTTGCAGCGCCCGGAAGCCGGCCGCGACGCCCTTCCGCTCCCGCCGCCCTGTGGAGGGGGAAGGGGTTCGCGGCGCACCGCGGCTCGGGTTGCTCCGTTCCGCCCCGTTCCGCCCGGGGCTCGCCGCGGGCCCGGTCGCCAGCGCGGTCGCTGTCACCGCCGCGGCGGCCACGGGGCCGAACGTCCCTCCGGGGGGCAACGTCCCCCGGGCCTTCACCACCACGGTGCTGGTGGCAGGTGGAGCGGGAAAGGAGCTGCCCATGGTCCCGCTGCGCGCCCAGGACACCTGTCCCCAATCAGGGTGGTCAATCCCCTTCCAAGGAGACCCCAAATCCCAGTTTTCCCCCATTTTGGGGGGCTTCCTCCCTCAGCAGCTGGAGCCCGTCACCACCAAAGCCACCAGCTGGCAGCAACCAACCCCAAAGCCGCATTTTTCACCCCAAAGCCGCATTTTCCACCCCAAAGCCCTACACACGAAGGGCGGCCGCCGCGTCCCGCTCTCCCCCGAAATCCCGCCGGGAGCGGCGCATTCCTGCCGGGCCGCCCCCGCGGCGGCCGGGAATGCGGCGCCACAAAGGGCGCAGTGTGCGGGGCCGCCCGCCCGCCGCCCGCTCTCCCCTGCGAACAAAACGGCCCTTTCTCGCGCCCCCCCGGCGCGGGGGCCCGCGGCTCCCGCTCTTAAGCGGCGCCGCGCGGCGGCCCCGGCAGCCTCGGGCCCTCCAGCGTCCCGCGCGGCCCGGCCGCCGCCACCATGTCGCAGGGTGACAGCGGGAGCCTCCTGCTCCTCGCCGCGCTGCTCGCCGCGCTCGGTAAGGACGCGGCCCAAATCCCGGGATTTGGGGCTCCTGCAGTGGCTCTGGTTGAGGACCTGCCCTTGGGCTTGATCCATCCAAAGGGATCCATCCAAACGCACCCCCCCGGTCGCTGCCACCGGGTCCCCTCCGGAGCCATCCGCCCCGCCGCGGTGCCCGGGGCGCCAGGACGTCCCCTTCGCACCCCGGGTTGTCCCCCAGCAAAGGCCCTTTGGTGGCGCGGGCGCCGGGATTCGCTCGGAGCGGCGGCCGGGACGCGGCGCTGACGCCCCCGGCCCCCTCGCAGGGCTCTCTCCGTCGCTCGCCATCCACGTCTACACGCAGCGGGAGATCTACGGCACCGTGGGCTCCCACGTCACCCTCTCCTGCAGCTTCTGGTCCAGCGAGTGGATCTCCGAGGACATCTCCATCACGTGGCACTTCCAAGCCGAGGGCTCCCGGGACAGCATCTCCGTAAGCGCCATCGTTCCGTGCATCCCGGTGTCGGGACGGCCCACTGCGCCCGGGGCCATCCTGATCCCGCTGCTTCTCTCTTTTTTTCCCCCGCTCCTTCCCTAGATATTTCACTATGCCAAGGGGCAGCCCTACATCGACGACGTGGGCACCTTCAAGGAGCGCATGGAGTGGGTGGGCAACCCGCACCGCAAGGACGGCTCCATCGTCATCCACAACCTGGACTACACGGACAACGGCACCTTCACGTGCGACGTCAAGAACCCGCCCGACATCGTGGGCAAGTCCTCGCAGGTCACGCTCTACGTCTTTGACAAAGGTGACTGCGTGGGGACACGCTCCCCATGCCTGTTTTCCCTGCCGCCGCCGTCGTGCCCGGCGCGTTCCCGGCTTTCCGGGCGCTAACAGGGAGCGCGTGGGCCCACAGTGCCCACCCGCTACGGCGTCGTGCTCGGCTCCATCATCGGCGGAGCTCTGCTGCTCGTCCTCGTGGTGGTGGCCCTGGTCTATCTCATCCGCTACTGCTGGCTCCGGAGGCAGGCGGCCCTGCAGAGACGCCTGAGGTGAGACGGGATGGATCCGGAATGGGTGGAAAACGGAGCATCCCGGGAGCCGGCTCCCGGTTTTCCTGGTGGCCTGGAGCAGGTCGGAGCTAGCTGGTGTTTCTGAGCTGCCCCTCTGCTTTTCCATGCCCGGTTTTAGCGCCATGGAGAAAGGGAAGCTGCAGAGATCCGCCAAGGACGCGTCCAAGCGGAGCCGCCAGGTGAGCGCCGGGGTGGCGGGCGCGGATGGGACGGGACGTGCGTAGGCAGAGCATTCCCTGCAGCCCCGTAGCCCGGCACAGGGGGCAAATCCCACGGGAGCAGCCAGGAGACGACGGCAGAGAGCAAAGGGCGGCCCAGGAAAACCTCCCCACTTGCATTTTGGGGTTAAAAACAGCCGGTGGGAGCCGGATCTCCCAGACGGAGGGGAGAGGAGCGAAGCGCCCGGAAAACTGCGGTTGGGGGGTGGCTCGGGTGGTTGTCCCCGGCCCCGACGGTGCCCGTCGCACCCGCAGGCGCCCGTCCTCTACGCCATGCTGGACCACAGCCGGAGCACCAAGGCGGCGAGCGAGAAAAAGGCCAAGGGAGTCCCGGGCGATTCCCGCAAGGAGAAGAAATAGCGGTTAGCGGGCAGGGAAGGTAGCGCCGCGGCGGCGGGCGCTCAATCCCCCCGCCCCCCGAAGGTCGTCATGACCATCGAGATGGAGCTGAAGGGCGAGGCCGCCGAGGCCGCTGGCCTCCCGCCCGCCGCCAAGTCCCCGAGCAAGACGAGCCTCAAGAGCGCCTTGATGAACATGATCAAGATGGACTCGGACTAGTGACGCCCCGGCGGCCTCGCCCGGCCTCCCCCTCGGCCGGCGCCGCGGGACCCGGCGGGGAGCGGGGTGTGATCCTCGCCCAGGGTCCCTCGGCCTCGGGGGCGCCCCGGGGTCCCCCCGCGCCGCCGGGGGACACCCCTCAAGCCCCTTGACCGGTACCTTCCGCCGCGCAGCCGCTGCCCCGGGCACACGTGTCATTATTTTTTTTTTCTATTTGAGGATGAAAACGATGAGTTTTGGGTCCCCTTCTTCCCCAGGGACCTCCCGGATCCCTATGGGCCCACGCTGCCCTGATCCACCCCCCCCTGTAAAAAAAGCCACCTCCCGGAGGGTTTCTCTGCCCCAAAGCTGCCCCTTTTCTGGCCGTTTTCTCGTCTCTCCCCCGCGACCGAGCTGCAATGACGTCGTGGGGCGGCCCCCGCCACGTCCCCTCCACCCCGTCCCCAATTAACCCCCGTGACGACACGTCCGATAACGTCCCCCCTGTCCCCCCGCCGGGGCCGCCATCCCGCTCCGCGGGGGCCGCGGCCGTGGGGAGGAGGAGAGGCCGGGCCCGGAGGAGCCCCCGCTGCGGCGCCCGGCGCTCCCGGCGGCTTTTCCAAGGCCCCGCGCATTCCCGCATCCCAACCTTAATAAAAACTGACATCTCCAGGAGCCAAGGAGCATCCCTGGCTCGTCGCCGTTCCGGTTCGGAGGGTGGGAAGGAGGCTGAGCACTCGCCAACTCGTTGCACAGAGCACAGCCTGGCTCCGGCAGCATCCCCGGGGCCTCTCCGGCCTTTTTCCCTCGGCCGGATGGATTATTTGTCATTCCGGAGGGAGCTATTCCCACTAAGGAGCGCCAGTTCCCGCAGGGCTGCACCGGGAGCCTTGAGGGAAGGGGCTGCGGAAGCTTTGCTCCGGAGGCTTCGTTCCGGAGACAGCCCGGCCATCCCACTGGGAAGCGGCCCAGCCTTTCCCAAGCCACAGCCTGGCACGCAGCCCATCCCAACTCCACCTTAATTAAGCCAGCGGCTCCGAAGTTGATCCAAAGCCCTGGAGCAAAGGAGCCCTCGAGAGAACATAGGAAACGCCGACACGGGCAGGAAAACAGAGCTGATTTTAATTCCCGCAGCTGCACACAGCTCCTGGATGGGAATTGGGGGGTCTTCCCTGCTCTTTTTTGCCAGGATGCGAAGCTCAGGCTGCAGTTAATCCAACCACTCGCCCTAGGGGTCCTTCCCAGAGCCCACTCCCAACAAACCTCCCTATATCCAGTTCACCCAATGTGATCGCGCATCCAAACAAGTCCCTCGGGAACGCAGCCGGCACCAGCAGGTGATTCCAAGGGTGATTAATGATCCCTGGGACAGAGCAGCAAAACACGCCGGGAAATCTGCCGCAAGGGAGGAAGAAAAGCAGCTGCCGGGGAAGGGGGGGGATTCACGGCAACTCTTTCATCTTCGCTGTAAAAATAGTGCGATGGGAAACGAGGCCAGCTCCGGCTTTTGCGGGAACGATGGGCTGGAAGCGCAGCCCGGAGGCGAAGCGGGAGAGACGCAGTGAAATCCAGGGATGGGACAGGCCCAGCGATGGGCTCATCCCGGCTCCCGGGGTTTGTTCCCATCGGGGCGCTGCAAGGCGGCTCACAGCCAGGACCGCGCTCCGAGGGCGCTCCGGGATCGCAGCGGCTCCCGAGGCAGGGAGGCTGGGATGGCGCCAGCCTCGGGAAGCCGGTGGGAACAGGGCGGCCCCATGCTGCTATTTTTAAGCGGCGTCTCCCCCCGGGGCCGGAGCCGCCGCGGGCAGGACGGGGTGCCCGGGGACACGGGGTGCCCGGGGGGCTCCCACAAAGCAGGCGCAGGCCCGGCCGCTCTCCCCACGTTTTATTCTTTACACCCACGGGAAGAGCGCGGCGCTGCCCCCCCCCAGCCCACGGGGGACAACGGGCACAGGGACACTGTGGAACGAGAAGGGGACACCCCGGGGTTCCCATAACAGGGGCTGTCAGCAGGGCCTGTGCCCCCAGCACCTTCCCGCTGTCCCTTTCCAGGGTATCCCAGGGGATGGGACAGGTTTCCCTCCCTGCTCTCCTCATGGGGGACCTTTCCCTGCCATCCCCCCTTTCAAGGGCCACATCCACCTGCAGGGATACAGGGATCCGAGCTGGGGTCACCCACAGGCTCCCCCCAAAGCTCCTCCCTCCCTGCTGGCTCCAGAGTTCCAGAGGGCCGGACCATTCCCAGGTGCCCGTGTCACATCTCCGCAGGGACAGCCCCACACGGGCTCAGCTCTCAGGGGTGTCACGGGGGGCACAGGGGGCCAGGACGGAGCCACGTCCCCAGCCGGAGACGGGCGGAGTGCAAAGAGCCGGAGCCGGACGGCGCCCCTGGAAGCGCCGCGCCAGAGAGGCGGGCGCCGCTCAGGGCCCCGAGTCCTTCTTCCGTTTCTGGAAGCGGCGAAACTTGCCCTGGATGGCGAGCGCCGCCTTCTCCGTCTCGGGAGCGCTCAGGTCGATGTCGATCTCCTCTTCCTCCTCCACCTTCTTGGAATTCCCAGCCTTGGCTGCAGGAAAACCCAGCTGCCCCGTTACATCCCGGGGCTGCAGGTGTCCCTGCATTCCCGGGATGTGCTCTGCATCCTGGATCCGCCCCCCACCAGCACCAGGCAAGGGATCAAGACGGAGCCATCTCATCCCCAAGTCCATCTGGGCAGCATTCCCGGCGGCAGGATCACAACCCCCCACCCCGGTGGGATCCGCGCCAGCCTCTCCCGCGCGGAGCCGCTTCCTCGGCTCCATCCGAGTGCCAGAGGCCGCCGCGTCCTCACCTTTCTCCTGCCCGCCGGGAGCCTCCGCAGAGGCCGGTGCCTCTGGAACACCGAGCTGCAGAGAGAGGGAAAGCACTGGTCGGGGTGGCGATCCCGGAGCGAGCCGCGCGCTCCGCGGATGCTCCGTGGGATGCGGGTTCAGCCCTGGAGCGGGATGCAGCACCGCTCGCATCCCCATCCGCCGGGATCCTCCCCGGGACACCGCTCCTGACACGGAGCCGGGCGGGATGCGGCAGCGGATGTCGCGCTGGGACACCCAGCTCCGAGCATCCCGGGAGATCCCAGGGACACGCGAAGGGGCTGGGAGCCCCCAGTGGGAAAGGGACCCCTTTCCAGGTCACATCCCCCCATCCCAGTTGTGGGAAACCTGGGAATTTTCTCTCCCCGTTTTCGGATGTTTTGTTGTTTCCAGCCCCATGCAAGCTCCCGCAGCACCGGCCCAGCGGCTCCGTGACGGGAAGGGGAGGAAGGAACCGGTACCGGCTCCTCCAGAACCGGGAGCTCCCGGGGAACCGGCCCCGACGCCACCGGCCCCGGGGCGGGAACCGTCCCGGCCACGAGAGCCCACCGGATGCCCCCCGGAAGCCTCCTGGTGCCGGTTCGGTGCCGCTGTGTCCCGGTTCGGTGCCGGTTCGGGCTCTGCCCGCCCCGCCGCCCTCACCTCGCTCATGGCTGCCTCGCGCCGCCGCCCGCTCTGAGGCGCCGCGCGCGCCCCGGCCGCTTTTATAGCGGCGCCCGCACTGAGTGACGGCGGCGGGCAGCCAATGGGCGCGCGGGAAGCGCACCTGGCCCCGCCCCTCCCGCTGCGCACGTGCCGCGCGAGCCCCTCCACCGCCCCCCCCCCGCGCCTCGACGGCGCGCGGGACCCGGCGTCCCGGGGGGCCCCGGCGTCCGGGAGGGGGGGGCAGGCCCCCGGGGGGGGGGCCAGGCCCCCGGGAGGGACCCGCAGCAACAGAACCGGGGCCGCCGCAGGGCCCCCGGTGCCCCAGAGAGCCCGGGAGCCGCCCCGGGGTTCGGGGGGGCGGGTGTCACCCGGTGAGCGCCACCCCCCGGGCCGGTGTCACCTCCCGGGCCGCCCCCGCGGCGCCGCCCTCGCCTTGTGCGGCCTCCGCCAAGTTCAAGGTGCAAATTCCACCGGGCTCCCGCCGGCGGTGCCGGGGACGGTGACACGGAGCAGCCCGGGGGGCCGGCAGCCCCCGGCAGCCCCCGCGGGTGAGCGACAGCCACGGGGACACCGGGGGGGCGAGGGGGGCACGGAGGGCGCCCCAGGGCCGGCGGCTGCAAGGGGACACGTGCCAGCGGGGACACGAGGGGGACAGCGGGGACCTGCCAGCGCCGGAGAACACATGGCCGCGTGCGTGAGCGTGCAAGGACGCGTGCGCGCGCACGCATGCACACATGTATGTGCACACACACATATGTGCGCACACACGTATGTGCATGTGCACACAGATATGCATGCCACATGTTCAAGTATGTGCATGCACGCATGCATATGTGTGCACACATGCATGTATGTGCATGCACATGTATGTGCACACGCATACGGATGTGCCTGCACACATGTTCAAGTGCACACGTATGTGCATGCACGCATGTATGTGCATGCATGTGCACGTGTGCATGTATGTGCATGCACATGCATGTGCACGTGCACACGTGTGTGCACGCACATATGTATGTGCATGTACACATGTATGTGCATGCACACACGTGCATGTGCACACGAATGTGCATGCACACATGTTCAAGTGCACACGTATGTGCATGCACGCATGTCTTTGCATGCATGTGCACATGCACATGTGCATGCACATGTATGTGCACGTGCACACGTATGTGCATGCACATATGTTCATGTACACCTGTATGTGCATGCACGCATGTATGTGCATGCACACACATGCACGTGCACACGGATGTGCATGCACACGTATGCACACACGCACGTCACTGCCCCCCAGGCTCTCCCCGGCCGCGGCCCCCCCGGGCGCAGCAGCCCCCGGCATGTCGGGCACCAGCCCTTCGGACGCGGAGGGCAGCGCGGGCGGCAGCCCCGGCACCCGCGGCCGCCGCGGGGACCCCGACGCCGAGGGGGACAAGGTCTGCGCCGTGTGCGGCGACCGTGCCACCGGCTACCACTTCCACGTCATGACGTGCGAGGGCTGCAAGGGCTTCTTCAGGTGGGACGGCACGGGGTGAGGTGGTGGGGTGGGACGCGATGGGGTGGGGTGGGACAGGAGGGATGGGAAAGGGCGGGATAGGGCAAGGTGCCATGGAGCGGGACAAGATGGGATGGGATGGGGTGGAAAGGGATGGGGTGATGTGGAGGGATGGGATGATATGGAATGGGACAGGACGAGGATGGGGTAGGACAAGGCATCATGGAGTGGGACGATGGGATGGGATGGGATGGGATGGGATGGGATGGGATGGGATGGGATGGGATGGGATGGGATGGGACGGGGTGATGTGGAGGGATGGGACGATATGGAATGGGACAGGACGAGGATGGGGTAGGACAAGGCACCCTGGAGTGGGACAATGGGATGGGATGGGATGGGATGGGACGGGATGGAAAGGGGTGATGTGGAGGGATGGGACGATATGGAATGGGACAGGACAAGGATGGGATAGGACAAGGCACCCTGGAGTGGGACAATGGGATGGGATGGGATGGGATGGGATGGGATGGGATGGGATGGGGTGATGTGGAGGTATGGGGTGACATGGAATGGGACAGGACAAGGCCCCATGGAGTGGGACAATGGGATGGAATGGGATGGGATGAGATGGAAAGGGATAGGACAACATGGAATGGGAGAGGACAAGGATGAGATAGGACAAGGCACCGTGGAGCAGGGCAAGATGGGACGGGATGGGATGGAAAGGGATGGGGTGATGGGACAACATGGAATGGGACAGGACAAGAGCGTCATGATGAGCTGGGACAGGAGGGGATGGGACCAGGAAGGAGGCTCAGGTGGGATGAGATGGGACGGGAAGGGATGGGACAAGAGGGGACAGGACGGGGTGCTCAAAGCGAGGCCCATAACAGGGCACGGGCRACCAGGGGTGCCCCCCGTCCCAGCACGTCCTGCCCCACAGCTGCCCCAGAGCCATGGCGGGCACGGGGTGGCTCCTGTGGGCCCAGGGACGTGTCCTGGGGGACACAAACACGGGGACCCGGGGGCCGCGGCCGCCCTGCTGCCGCTCCCCGTGCCCCCCCAGGCGCTCCATCAACAAGGGCGTCCGCTTCACGTGCCCCTTCGCGCGGAGCTGCCCCGTCACCAAGGCCAAGCGGCGGCAGTGCCAGGCCTGCCGCCTCCAGAAGTGCCTCGACGTGGGCATGAGGAAGGACAGTGAGTGCGGCCGGCCCCGCTGGCCCTCGGGGACCATGGGGGCAGCGGCGGGGGGAGGCAACGGGTGGGGAGGGGATGGGGGCACCCGCATGGGCTAGATGGAGGGACCCACGTGGGACAGATGGGGTGATGTATGGGGAGAAGGGACAACCCGGGGCACCTTGGTGGGACAGGGGAGGACACGGGAGCAGAGATGTGGGGTGACGGGGGACATGAAGTAGAGGGGACAATGGGGTGACGTGGGTGGCACAAGGGGGGGACGCAGGAGCAGAGAGGACAGTCCAGGGTCACAGGGAAGGGGGCACCCTGGGGCAGCAGGACGAGGTGACGGGGGGTCCGGGTGACCCCAGCGGCCGCAGGGAAGGGGCTGGGGGGTCCATCGCTCTCCTGGGGGGTGCCCGCCGTGGGCGGCGCGGGCCCAGGCGTCCTGCGTGACGCGCCGCCCGGGGCGGGGGACGCAGTGATCATGTCGGAGGAGGCGCTGC